TCAAAACACAAAACAGACACAGCAACCCTCAAGCTTGGCCTTTCCCTTCCTGTGCCCCATCTCATTTGGGGCTCCACTGCCTTCAGAGTCAACTAGGCTGAAAACCTCAAGACTCACTTTCACTGCACCTTCTCTTTCATTCTCCAACCCTCAAAGTTCTCAGAGAACAACAGCTTTTCTTCCAAATGCCTTCCACTACTGCAGCATGCTTGCTAACCCCCCCCGCCCCAGCAATTCTCTAGCTAAGTTCTTTATTATTTCTCACCACGTTGTTTTAATTCTCCCTTTCCCCACTGTTCTTTAGCATTACCCCAACCTTCAGAGTTAGTAGAGTAATATATGGAAGACTAGCCTTGGTTTTTATCTCCCCTATCAGAAGTGTTCAGCAATTATACGCCAAGGAAATAAACTGAATCCAAATTCTTTGACGATATTTGAGGTTTCTACCATCCTTTTCTGCTCTACTCTCTCTTACTCAACAATCTGCCTTTATTCCTTCCCATAAAAAAATACCTTCCACCACCCCCCCAAGTTCAAACTATCTTCTAGAACACTTGGACAAGTAGCCTTCATCAACTTCCTGCCCCCAGCAAGAAGCAGTCACCTCCATCACATACTAGATACAGTACTTACACGATATTATAGCACTTATTTAATATATTGTGTGATGCAATTGATGGTATCTGACCATACCTAGGATTTGGGGGTGGGGGGAATCAGTAAGGAAACTGACAAAACATAAAACAACGTTTGAAAGAAAGGAAAATCTAAGTGTTAAAATATTTTTAAGAGTTAAAAAAAAACAATCAAAGCTTCCATTATATGCCTGTTTTCTATCACAGGGATATGACAAGTTAACTCTTGGCAGATTCCCTTGAAAACTTTCACTTTGGCAAATAAAGTTTTTCCTAGGTGTCACTAGTAGTAAACTTTAGAATCATGCCAATTATGTCAGCACAAATTCAAAATCCAATTCAGTGATAAGCAAAACTGTCCCAACAGGTTGTGTGTTATTATACCCAATCAAGATTTAATAGGGCCCAGGGTTCTGCTAATGACTGACTTTAAGAAAAAAAAAATGAAACACACGCATAATACAAATCAATATTATTTATTGGGGTCTTGGGAAACCAACAGACAGAATTTGCATCCAAAACATTCTGGCCTAAAATACAGACCAGAAGTAGTGTGATCCCAGATACTCTGAAGGCTGAGGCAGGAGGCCCATAATTTCAAAGCCTGTCTGGGCTATAAGAGTAAAATTCAAAATTTAGGCAACTTAATGTACTCTTGTCCAAAAGAAAAAAGTAAATTAAAAAAATAAGGCAAAAACACCCAGTACCACTCGGGAAGGGGAACTGTATGTTAAAGCTTGTAGAATCTTTTTCAGATGTATCAGGAATTTAAATTTTTAAAAAGTAACACTATAGAACTATTACGTTAAAACATACTTAGATGTATAACCTATGCATCAATGATTGACAAACTTCAAAGTTCATTCTGGTGAAATTACACACAGAGAGAATGAATTATTTCAAGTCTAAGTGATGTGACATGGGTAAAAGGCAGGAACATGCTACTTGGCAGCATCACTTTTTAAGTGCTTTTAACACTTACGTGCCAATGTAAATTCAAATAAATGGAGAGGCAAAGGCATAGGCAGGTACTCAGCTTGCTTTGCTCTTTAGCATCAATTAATTATTTTCTAATTTCCTGAGCATCCATGTACACTCAGGGCATTTAGCATCTATTAGAAGGAAAATGGTTTCTTCTGTTTTCCATCACCTGGCTCAGACTCCGTGCAAACCACACTCAGGAACCTCACATTAATAAATTATGACTCCAACCACACAGATTAGCAACCATTTCCTTACCCTCACTTCAGCATTTCCAACAGGAGCACAATAATGCTCTTCCTAAAAGCTAGAATCCAGAAACCAGAAAACGAGTGTCCAGAATGAAGTAGGTATCCTCTATTCTGCCTCCACTCTCTTTTGAGTCTATACTCCAGTCCTTTTCATACCCCATGGCATTACCGACTCATATGTCCAGCTTAATACTGCCCTCCTGATTTATAGACTAAGGATAGAGTTATGTCTTACCTAGTGTCCCCCAGTAGTAACCACTTACTAACACACAATAGAACCTCAACAAGTGTTTAGGAAGCCATGCCTGTAACAATTTTGGAACAAATTCCATATTTGATTGTATGTATTTAAACCTATGTGTGTACTCAAGAATAGTTCTGTCAGTTTTATCAATGAGACACCACTAATCAGGTGGTTTAGGGTCAGTCTCTTAGACTCACAGGAAAAGCTAAGACCAGAAAACTGTGAAAATGGGATGCCTTGGGATCAACCGTTGGTCATTTTCTCAGTGCATGCACTATGTGAACTCTGTGTTACTGATTACAAAACATTACACATCTTACAAAGAACACAAGGAGCAATTGCTTTCTCTTATTCTTGGTGACCTTGGAAAGAAAGCCTGCCCTGGGAAAATAGAACAATTAGTTGCAATTGAATTCTTAGTGAGTATCTTAAGTTCTAGAGAGAAAGGAATTATGAAACTTACGTGTTATGTACTGTCCAGCCCAAATCTAATTCACTGTCTCCTCTAAAATGAGTTATGTTGCTTAGTAGTTACCTGCAAATAGCATTTTGAAGACCTCCCCAAGGGAAGAGGCTTTGCAAAGAAAACATACTTACACCTGACTTTTGCTTAACAAGCTACTAGACATGAAAGAATCTGTTCTGCTGGTCACAAAGTAAACTCATACTACTGTAGCTACCTTTCTAAAGCTGAGTGATATCTCAAATGATAATATTTTTGTACTAGTAATAAAGTCCCTGAAAAATAGTCAGATAATGTTGATATTATGAGCCATTTCTTTCATCACTGTCAAAACTTGAGAAGACCAACCCATGTTGGAGACTTCTTTCTATACTACAACCTTCAATACCATTTTGCCAATTAGGATTAGTAATTTTCAGTGCCTTTCTTTTACTGTGTGACAAGAGTAGAAATTAACACACCAAACTATTATGACAAAGGATGTGTGTTTTCTCCAAAGCCCACAAATGCATTCACATTGTCATCTTTGAGAAATAATTAAGATGAATAGGGAAAGTCAGATTACCGCACTTTTGCCAACATGGGCACCCACATCCCACTAAGTAGAGGCTTAGGGTAAGAAAGTTCCCTGTGTGTCATACTCAACTGTCCAAGCTAAGTTTAAACTCACAAAAGGATTAATAAAATAAACACTGGTAGGTGTTTAACTGTCAAATAACCATCCATTGACTATAATTCATGGTGAAGTAATTAGAAGCAGTTACTGTGTAGATAAACAACCAGTCATAGAACAAAATTATGAATACCACTTTTTTTTTTTTTACTATCTCACTGACATGACAATAACTATGGCTCACCACTTCCTTAATAAATCTTTTTGATTTTACATCCTAGCCCTCAATTACAAATATATAAATACAGACCATTTCGAGGACTGATGTGAACAAGGACTATCTCTTCAGTGAAATCTGATCCGTTTGTTGCCTACTTATGTAACAGACAGAACTGGAACAAACCATGAATTTCTTCTCCTACCACTAACTAATGACTCAAGCAATAAGGATGACCTTCAAATGCGTACTCTATAGAAAAGTGGAGATGGCTCACATTGTGCTTGCCAAATACATGTAGTTTTTCCAGCTGCATATTTTTCATTCTTAAGTGTCCAAGGCTAAAACCAAAGCCTGACCCCAAGCAGAAAGTTGCAATGTTCTGACATCATGACATCATTCTGTCTGGAGCACTTTAATATAACAATTTGAAAAAAATTGGCAGAGGCTTAAATAGGTCACAGGGAAGTCCCAAACTAAGGCTATCCACCTGGTTAAAAAGATTCTGGTGTTCCATTTGATACCAGTGGCCATCCAATGACAGGCCCATGCTTTAGTTGCCTTATCCAGAGCCTCCATAAGGATACATGAAAATAAAGCTAATAGTGTCACCTCCCAGGATTGTTTCTACTATTCCATGGGGTTTTTTGTTTTGTTTTGTTTTGTTTTTAGCCAATTTTGTCTTTAGCAGCAAACCAAAGCAAAGGTAAATGCCACCCTATGATTTCAAACAAGCTTTGGCTCATCCTTACTTAATAGGGAGCATATTTTAACTGTCTAAAATGCAACATAGTCGAACTGCTTCAAATTCATAAAGTATGAATTTGTACAAAGACGTAAGCTATCACATTTGTCTTGCAAGCCTCCTTAGACAGCTAGCTTTACAGTAAGGGCCCTGTGAGGTGCCCACACTGCCATTTCAACTGGACATTTCTGAGAACCAACATCCAGTTTGGTTTCATCTTATGAAACTAGAGTTCATCTAAAAGCAACAAGCAGAAACCACAGATGTCTCTGACACTCTCAGCCGCACACAACCTCCACACACATTTTCCTTTCACAATAAACAATGCACACCCCAAAAAGATTCCCTGCTTCAAAATGGAATAGTAGATGCAAGAAATCAGAGTGATGATGCCATGAACAGTAAAGAGAGAGAGAAAAAAGCCTTTTTTTAATGATGATGAGTTGACACAGAAAAATGGAAACTCCTAAACACTTCTTCCTCCGCAAAGCACTGGTTCTTTCCCCAGTGGATGCTTCAACATCACACATGTGGCTGTCCTAATGTGCTCCCTCTGAGACTTTTGTTCACTTACTGCTTTTAGCCATACGCCCACCCAAAGTAACCAATGGTAAAAACTCTGGATATCTGAGTAATAATATCCAGGAACTCTGGACCTTGAGAAGCAAGACAAAACGTTAAAAGAAGAAGAAGTCTTTGCTTTGAATCTAACTCTTCCAAACACAGAGTTGGAGAAAAATGGCCAACACAAATCCAAAGAGACCTGCCACAATGACGGTTCTTAACCATATGTATAAAGGGATGTGAAGTAACTGCCTCAGAGTAAAGATAGCCATGTGCACGCAGTGAACTCACCACTTTGTCCATGAGCTTCCAAGTCTTCTCCACAGTCCTGCGATCAGCTGCAGCTTGCTTGGGGGTCCAACTGCATCCTGAATAGCATCAATAATCCCCAAAATTCGACCTTTGCGGGGGTTTCCTCCTCGACCACCAGGATTTCTGCCATTCATAGAATTTGCCATCTGGAATCCTAGTCCTTTTAGTAAGGTAGATTTTTAAAAAGAAAAGTTAGCTGGATATAAAAGTATTTTCCCAACAGGAAATTGAACCCAAGAGGTTCACTCATACCCACTAATAATATTCTCTGCCACCATGAGACAAAACGGACGGTCCCATATTCAACTTTTTAGTAACCCGGTGTAACAGCGTTCTCCAAGTTAGGAACTGTAACGCTAGGGCTTGCTTTCACAAAAGTAGAAGTTAAGGATGCATCTCCTCCTAGCATTCCACACAGCTACAGCTAGCCACCACCAACAAAACAACTTTTAACAGAAGGCCTCCCCCTTCTGCTGTAATCTAGATTCAAAATAACCAGGGCTGCAACCCCCTGAATTCATGTTAGGAGCTTCACTAGAAGCCTCCTTCACGCTGTTAGATTTCGCCAAGTTATTACATAAATGCAAAGTGCTCCGCACAAGCAGAAGGGGCATGTCTGTTGTCAACAAAGGCGGAGGACTTGGATTTCCCCACGGCAAAACCAGCAGCCACGGACACACAAGTAGTTCTTTAAAGCGTTGCGGTGAGTAGTTTTTCCCTAGAGCCAAATAAACGAACCAACAAACAACCCTTTCTTAAAAAGCGGTGAGAACCCGGCAAGGGCGGGCACGCACAGAGGAGTTCACTTCTCGGGGTGGCCCCAAGTCTGCCTACCCGGGATAGGAAGATCCAAAGCTTTGTTTCGGGACGCCCGTGTCCCTTCCCGGCCCGGGCCCCTCTCGTCCGCCACTCGAGGATCTGGGAAAGGGACCAGGAATGCAGCGGGGATAAAGTATCCCTAGCCCCAGAGCTGCCCCCGGAGTCCCACAGCCAGCCCGATCCCGCTCCAGTCGCACGCACCTCCCACCAGCTGCGACCAGTCTCAGTCCGCTGCCTCCCGGGCCTCCGGCCAGGCGGGGACTGCTCTTTAAATCCCCACTTGGCTCAGGCCCGCAGTGGCGACAGCAGCTGGAAGCCAGGGCTGTCCCCTCTCCCTGATGGCCCGCGCCCAGCTTCCAGAGCTCCCGGGCCAGCAAGCAGCGCCCAAGCTCGGGAGCCCGGCTCCCTCCTCTCCTCAGGTCACCCCCGGCCCTCCTAAGCCACGCGTGACCGCGGGTCCCACTACACACTCGCGCGCGCGCTGCCCTGGCCGGGGTGGCTCGGGCGGGGACTCTGTGGAATCGCCCTAAGAGAGAGCGCTCCGGAGAAGAAGCCACCGAGATCTCAGGACACCGGGACACGGGGACGCGGCAATTACCGTGCAGACAGCTCCACGCCCGCCCGGCCGTCCCGCGCCACTCTCGGGAGGCCGCCGCAGCGCCCGCCGGAGGAGGAGACCACTCACTGGCCACCCCACCCCTGAGCCATCCCCGGAGACCAGGGCGCGGGGCGGGGCTAGGGCGGGGCCTCAGGCGGCCGGGGCCAATCCTGAGAGCCTGGTCGCTGCCAGACAGCGGGCGGAGCCAATGGGTGGGACGAGACTCGCCTCCCGCGCTACCCCCAAGTCCACGTCCTCTACGGTACACAATGGCCCCAGAGGAAGGCCCGCTCGCCCGCATCCCACTTGGAGAAGAACTCGTGGGGAAATGGGCCTAGGGCAGCCTTGAACCAAAAAGTGGAACAAGGAAAGGACCTGGAGAGAAGCGGCAAGCCTCCCGGGGAGCTCACCAATGAGGGGGTGCGCAGGTGGGCGTGAGCGCCCCGAGCGGGAGTCTAAGCCAACTGGGGGCTAAAGGCGGGACTTCCTGCCTCATTCACCTTCCTAGTCTTTGTTTCATAGCAACAGAGTACCCGCTGCCAGAGTGGTGCTTCTCAGCTCTGGGCGGGTCCCAGGCTTAAGAAATTCATCTCCCTAGGGCTGCCAAACTCGGCTACTCAGGACAGCAGCCAAATAGGTCCAAGACCGGGTTTCTTGTTGACTCTCAAATAAAGAGCAACCGTCCCCTAGCTTCTAAGACCAAGGGTAACCCCACACAGTGTAGGCGAAGAGTAAAACTCGATTGCCAACCCTAAAACTTCCTAAATTTCTGAAATGTTTCCCTTTTACTCTTAGTTCCAGAGGGATTCCAGATCAAACACCAGGCTGAAGAGAAAGCAAAATAATTGACAACTATGGCTAAATAGTCTCTGGAATCTTGCCAGGGCAGTAAAAGTCCCATACAATGGGGATTACTAATGTATCTTGCACCTTTTCATGTTCTGTTCAAGTTTCTCCATAAATCTCTGTATGTAAAGAACTCAGCTGTTAGATTTTGTCTGAGTCGCTTTCCCTCCCTGTAGATGTTTAATGACAACTTTGTATCTGACAGTCTCTCCCACTGTTTGTCTCTTTCTGGGACTCCATCCTTGATGACCATATAAAAGGAAACACGTCTGGTAGTGCTAAAAATGAAATGCCAGGACTCTGCTGTCAACATAATCATACACTAAACAAATGCTTCTGCTGTCACATTAAACAAATGCTTGTATTTCTCTCCATGAAATTCAATCCCATGCTGCTATTTTTTGCCGTTTTACATACTCAGTAACTGGGTTTTCCCCTGCACTTGATAGGACAGGCTACAACTTGTACCTTGGGCTCCTGGACATGATACACACATTATACACACACACACACACACACACACACACACACACACACACACACACACCTTTCTCTAATCAATTTTCCTGATATACGTGTCTCAGTGGTTCTGACCACTCCCTAGTATTTTAGTGCAGTGATGATTACTGTGAAGACTCTCAAGTTGTGACAGAATGCTCTACAATCCTAAACTCAGATAGCTTCTATTTTCATTTAGTGGAAACAAGTAAATTGCGGCCCTTTAATCTGTCAAACAATAAAGTATGATTCAGTAAGTAATATTTTATGTCATTATTTCAATAATAATAATAATTAAGAAGTAGTTCCCTCTTTTACATATGTAAAGAGTATAGGCCTCTACATCTCCTTCAACAATTCATATCTCCCTTACTGCTCAATAAGAGCTATAATTCCTTAGTGGAGACTATATAAAAAGGAGACCTTTGTGGGTACATCCTCTGTGGATGTAAAAGGTAACTTTAAAGATAATTCAAAAGAAAGTGCAAATAAGTGTAAAGGGCACTGCTGTCCAGAACTAGTTATACTTTAAATTACACGTGTTACTTAACTTCATGTTTGGATAGATATAGAAGAGAATATGTAGTCTATTCCTTTAAAACTGCAGTTTGTAACTGAAGGGTACAACAATGACAAAATAGCTCTGATCCAATTGCAAAGAGGGGGGGAGTGATGAGCAAAGGGGTCAAGACTAGGACAGGGAAACCCACAGAAAAAGCTGACCTGAACAAGGGGGAGCTCATGGACCCAACTGACAGCTAGGAAACCAGCATAGGACAGAACCAGGCCCCCCCAAATGTGGGTGTCCAGTTAGGAGGCCAGGGCAGTCTATGGGGCCTCTGGTAGTGGAACAGCATTTATCCCTAGTGTACGAATGGACATTGGGTGTTTATTCCCCATAAAGGGATACTCTCTCAGCTTAGACACATGGGGGAGGGCCTAGGCCCTGCTCCAAATGATGTGACAGACTCTGATGATCCCCCGTGGAAGGCCTCACCCATTCTATGGAGCAGAAGAGGGATGGAATGGGGGCCTGCGGGGAGCATGGGAGGATGGGAGGGAGAGGGAATTGGGATTGGTATATAAAATAAGAATTTTCTAATTTAAATTTTAAAAGGGGGGAAAAAGATAATAGCTCTGTCTGTGAAACAAAGTGTTTCATGTAGATACAAATGACTGACTGCATTATGCTTTGTTTCTCTACTCTGGTTAGGACCCAGGTATAACACATTCATCTCTCTGGAACTGCCAAACTCTTCTATCCAGAGCAACAACCAAACATGTCTGACACAGAGTTTCTAGTAGGCTGTCAAAAAAAAAAAAAAAAGAAAAGAAAAGAAATAGTGATTATGTTAGTCAGGGTTCTCTAAAGGGGCAGTAGTGATGGAATATAATACATACATATATATATTATAATATATAACATAATATGAATATATATTAAAGGGTGCTTTATTCGTCTGACTCACATGATATGGTCAGGGTAGTCAAAAAAATTCTGTCTCACACTGCAGAGGCTTAGAATCCCAGAGTCAGATTCAGTAATCCCGATCCAGTGCTAAAGGCCTACACAATTCCTGGAGAGCAGCTGGTAGTCGATCTACCTTTAGAAATGGAGGGTGCTAACACCAGAAAAGGAATGCTCCAGCAACAAACGAGATGAACCCAACCAGCAAGAATGAAGGAGCACAGGAAAAATCCAAAGTTTCTTGCATCCTATACTTAGGGTGATTCTTCCAACTTTGAATATTGTAATCAAGAAATTGCCTCACAGGGTGAACATGAGAGATGGCTCAGAAGTTAAGTGCACCTGTCCTTGCAGAGGATTTCGATTCCATTTTAAACACCCTATGTAGCTTTCAACTATCCATAACTCCAGTTCCAATATATATATCCAGTGCTGCCTTCTAACTTCTGTGTGCACCAAGTGTACACGTGGTACACATACACTCCTGCAACTAAACATTCACACACACACAATAAATCTTTTTTTAAAAATCCATCATAGGATTGCCCAGTATCTTGCATTTTAGTTGATCTCAGATACTATCAAGTTGGTTGACAACCAAGGTTAGCCACCACAGTCATCAAGCTTCTAAACTGAAATAGAAGGCTTGCATATACATGCATGTCCTGTGCACTATATACCTACACACATATATTGACATGTAGAAACTCTGTTTATCAAAACCACCCAAAGTATAACTAAGTTGCTGACATAACATGGGTCCTAGCTGAGTTCAAATCTGGACTTGGGGTTTGGTGAATTCTGGTGAGCTGGTATGGTATCTGTCCTGTATTCTGTTAGCAGGATTTAATATGTATGGAAGAATTAAGACTTCTGTGGCTAAACAGAAGCATGAAGATACTCCCCAATTGAAGACTGTATTAATAAATGAGGGTATAAACATTGCTTTCATAGAGTTTGTGATATTTTTGTGTCTAAGCACTAATATTCCAAGCCGATAGAGTTGATAAGGAAACAGTATGCTCATATCTGCCAAAAGGCAATCCCCAGGCCCACAAATTTAAAATGAATGCAATGTCCCTGGGAACTTGAGAAACAGTGAGGTTCCTACATAAAAGGTCTTGCAAGTAGCAGGGTGGCCAACTAGTGAAAAAAATACAGCCAAATTGGCTGTTTTTGCTTGGTTTCTATTGCTGACCCAAAACAACTTGGGGATGAAAGGGTTTGTTTGATTTACATACCTAAACCACAGCCTGTCATTGAAGGAGCCAAGGCAGAGATCATGGAGGAATGCAGCTTACTGGTTTGTTCTCATGGCTTGCTCAGTCTGCTTTCTCATACCACCCAGGACCACCTGATGGCATCCCCTTCCCATAGTGGGCTGGGCCCTCTCCCATCAACTATTTAACAAAAACATGTCCCTCCACAGAATTGCCTGCAGTCTATCTGATGGAAGTAATCCCTCAATTAAGTTTCTCTCTTTCCAGATGACTTGAGCTTGTGTCAAGATGACGAGAAGAATCTAATCAGCACACTGGCCAAAAGTACATGTGAGGCCTCAAGCAAGAGTCTTAATGTCAGGGGCACTTCAGAAAGTTTACAGACACAGTGATAAACACTTGCAATTTCAGCATGAATCATTTAGTATTAGTACATGCCAATAGGTTGGGTGTCAACTAGGAAAATGCAGATAATATGACTGTCATTAAACGTGGCTCAGGTTCTTTAAAGGGAACAAATGACAACTGTCTGGGGGAAAATATTACAGCATTTGTTCATTTTTTCTGGTTTCCTTCATAGTCAAAAATGATCCCTGTGACATTAGACCTGATTTGAAAAATTAGACATGAGTTTATAAAAATGTCAACTGATTCAGTGGGATACTTAGAGGGCTATCATAGAGGGAAACACATGGCAATTCTATTTTACATAATAGAGAATTTACTTAATTCACAATTCCATCAAGTTGTTCTTAATCAACCTGCAAACCTTCCAGGGCATATTTACAATGGGTATCCTGACACAAAAACATAATACCATGAAAAAATGCTAATCTCCCAGGTAAAGGGGGTCGCAACAAGAAATAAGAACCATATGTCTTAGTTATGTCCATTGCTTGCTAAGAAGAGTACATTTCTGTCCATTCTTTAACATATTAACTACTGACAGTTAAGGATGCTAACTCAATAGAGTGATCAAATATAGCCCGACTCAGACTCCTGATTTGGCCTTAAGGACAAAACACAACCTCACTTCTGAAACACAGAGTCTAAGTAAAAAATATAAATAAACTGTTGCTCCAGTATTTTCTCAATGAT